CTGCTGCGCCTCCAGAGAGGCGCGCCTGGACCAGGCCCGGTGCCCCGGTGACCACCCGCAGCCCAGCGCCAGGCCTGCGGTGCCAGGTAAGCTGCTGTGCCCCCGGCAGACGCGCCTCCCCCTGCATCCCCCCAGCATCCTTCCCTTGGCGGCAGCGGCCAGATCCTTCCTCTGTTTCCGTGCCCTTCAGAGGTCCAAGCTGTAACCACTGCAGCAGAAAGTGCTGGAGCCCTGACACAGCGCTCATCTTGGTGCTCCGTGGGCCAGGGTCACTCATTCCCTTCATTAGAGGAGGGAATAATTTGGGGCTTCACTCAAAATACCTTTCTGTCCATCTGTCTTAGAAAAGCCTTTCGGCGACTAACAGAGTAATCCGGTAGCACCTCTGATGTTTATGTCCCTGGTGGAGCATGTGCCTTGCTGACCTGTTCTGTTAAAGCATGGGGATACCTCTACGTAACGTATTTAACTTAGGTACTAACTATAAAACTTCATTACAAGTCTGAATTTCACCTTAATTATGCACAAGTGGACGGTAGCTGTGACATGTGAGTAGTGGAACAGCTCTTGCCTGGGTATCAGTGGGTATCCGTGGCAGATGCTATAGGACTGACTGCTCCAAACTTCTGTGCTTTAGGCTTTTTCACACAAACCTGTTGCAGCAATTGTCAGTCTCTAACCTTGCTGCAGCAAAAGAGGAGAGTAAAGCTACTCCGGCCTGCTCCCTGGTGCATGCAGTGCTTAAGGAATGAAGAACAGAACGTAACCTAGAGTACCCCAGGGGTGAATGCTTGGCTAATGTTACTTCTTTGTTTTCAGTGCCCGTATACCTGCCCTTCCTTCTTGTTGGGTCTGTATTTGTGGCATTTGTTGTTGGCGGAGCCTGTGTTGGAATCTGCTGCTGCAAATGCTTAAAATCCCAGGACGAGGAGCAGCAAAGTGGATTTGCACCTGGCCAGACCTGGCTGCTAGAACCTGACCTTCCCTCTCACCTCTCCACTTCCAGTTCTGCCACCAGAAGCTCACCAGGTAGTGGTCCTCAGAGCAGCAGCATCTGCATGACTCTGGCTCCATCCCTTCCTCCACCCCTGCCCATTCTTGGGCTGCCTGAAGATGCTCGCTTCCTAAGCCCCGCAGCTGGCAGTGGACAACTCTTGCACCCTTCATGTGCTACCCACAGAATAGCCACTGACCGCACTGCAGTAATGCCTCCAGCATCCTTCCCTAAAAGAACAGTTTATGGGCATGGTGCTCACACATCTCTTGGGGTAACACAGGGTCACCAAATGATGTACTCAGGAGTTCATGTCTGAGATGACACAGCAGCAGCCATGAGCTGGATGCCACTTCACGGTTATAAACAGTTCTTCTGGACTGAACCAAGGACTTAAAAATGTTTAATGCTATTAGGAAGTGCATCAGTTTGGGCTTTTTACAGCTCCGAAGATGACATGTTAGAACTTCTTTTAAGTTCCTGGATTTTAACACATATTATGTTAATGCTATTGAAAAAGACAAGATTCTGAGGCCTCTGTACCTGCCCAAGGAACCCTCCTCTGGTCCTGACACACCACGTGCCAAGGGACATGGCTGAGGACTCGGTTTCAATGTCTGTAGCTGTGTCACTTGTCAGCAGCTTGGGGCAGGGAGGTGCCTTGGTGGAGTTATTCATTGTGGATACTTGACAGCCTGGAAAGCAGCAGGAAGACTCTGCTTCACCTACACACTTCTACCAGCAAACTGATGGTAAAACGCTGCCTGCAACTCCCCTGCTCCTTATGAACTATCAGTTCAGTGGTGCTGCTAAAGGAGCAACTTCTAGCCCTACTGAAGTGTACGTTTAGTACATATAGTAGGGGAAGGTAACAGACAGTGTACATGTTGCTTCATCTCTTCCAGTGGCTTTGTGGTCTTTTTTTGTTCGTTACATAACTGAACACTTCAACTGATGAAGGATTACAGGGTCAGGGAAGAACAAAACCAGACTCCAGTCAGCATCCCGAGTGCATGCAGGAAAAGCTTGCCTGGTTTGGCTCCTGTTAAGATGCAGCCATCCCCTCACAGCAGGACACTGAGAGAAAGAAGTTGTCAAAATATACTTACTACTCACTGCTGGAGCGTTTTAACACCTCCTCCCAGCATGGACACCTGCATGATCAGACTGGGAAAAGGACTCCACAGGGCTTACCAGTAGGAGCAGGGGCCAAGGCTTAACAGTCTTGTAAGAAGTCAGTGCCAAAGCTTTTCTGGTGATGATGCTGCCTATCAATCGGAAAATGGGTTTGATAAAGATGCTTGGAAGCTTCTCTTGTAAGTCAGTGGGACTAATATACATTGTAAACAACTGTGTGCCCTTACACCCTGTGTATTTGACACTACTTTATGTATATTTTACTTCAGAATGTTTGTTCCATCTTAATTCTGGTGAGCAGTATGGCCTGCGGCGATGCTGACACTAAGCACACATCTACCCCAGTGCCCAAGATGATTGTAAGGGCAGGGTGATGTGTTTGGGTGACTCCCTGATTCTTCCATGGGTGTGAATCTGAGACTTCACATACCCTGGGCTGTGCCTTAGGTTTGTTTGGCCAGTTCCTCTCAAATCTGGAGTAAGAATATAAGCATGAAAACAGAGTGCCCTAAAAATAAAAGCTTCTCCTAAATACCACCACTGGTGATGTACACTTGTTTTAGTACTGAGACACGGTAAGTAAAGGCTTCCAGAAATAAAACGAACACGAAAGTGTTGTTTTAAAGTCAGGTTTTGAACTTACAGCGCTGAAAGCGCTCGAAAATGGTTTCCTCTTTACAAAGTAATTGTTGTTTGCAGTTGGCTTAGGAAAATCTGCAGCTGAATGGAGGATTTAATGTGGTTAAATGTCTCATTTTGATAGTACATAATGACAAAAACTCGTGTCAGTTCAGAGACAAATGGCCAAAATGATGCTCTTTGTTCTGGGAAATACGGAACAACTCCCATCACATTTGTGCTGTCGGGAAGATCTATTTTGTGCTTAGTGGGCTCAGGCATTAGAAACGGAGACCAGGTGGTTTTATCAGCTAGTCCCTCCTTTCCTAAAACATGATTATTCTCTACGGTAGATGTTCTGAAGTAGAAAGGTAAAGGAGTATGTGAGCTGACAGTACAGTGGAGCTCACTCTGTAGCATGTACAGAGGCTCCTGACGGCTTGAACTGGAACTCCCCAGGAGGCAGCTTCAGGCTGAAGATATAGATTAAATAAGAAAGCGGAGAAATAACCTTCCTGATACCATAAATAAGAGAAGGGTCAAGAGGTTCACGTGTAACCCTGAAGAATTAAAAGGAGAAATAACTGATCAGAGCAGGAACAGCAAAGCTAAACGGTTTCGGGAATGCTGCCTTAGTTGCTCTCTGGTGGGATTAGCGGGCTGCTTGGAGCCAGCATACCCTCCCCTTCCTCACCTTCCTCTGTGTATTCCACAACTGGAAAGCTGAGTCAACAACAACAAAAAGGAGGCAAAGGGGCTTAACTGAGCAGATGCTCCCGGCAAGGCCAGAATTGGGAACAAAACGGGAATTTCTGGATCTCTGCCACAGCATTTTCTACATAGTTAAATTAGTTTTAACTAACGTCTGCGGCAACAAAGCCGGGCCGAATATGTCAAGGGTTCAATATGGCTTTTAAAAGTGCAAGAGAAAACAAGAACTAAGCGACTTGTTGCACTCCATGGGCTGGAGAGAGGTTTTCCAAGGAATCGTGTGCTTAACATCTCCCATCAAGCCCCATTGTGAACTGGGATTACCCCCGGCTCGGTCAGCATCTGCATTAAAAGCAGATCAACTCTTATGGGGACTAAGGAAAAAACACGGGTACTTTCTATGTAAATTCTATCCCTTTACTAATTTGAGAGGCCTTGCTACAGAGTTTAGCACATCTTTAGCTAGAAAGGATATGTTCATGCTAAATCCCTTTTTTTTTCTCCCCTAAACTGCTTTTCCTGCTGTAAGCTCAAGCAGCAGCATTTAACAGAGACTAATGGGCTACTTAGCACCTATTGTACTGGGTGCTTCGCTTTGTTTGCCTAATGATGCTCCCACCCCGCTCCCCTCAGCTTCTCACTAAGAAATGATTTATACTCTTTGCTCCTTAATCCTCAGTAATGACCCAGGTAAACTGCATTGTTCCTGGTGTATTCCTTCTGGATTTGGGGAGAAAGAAGAGTTAACTGCAAAGGTGAAGATGACAGCTTCAGCCCTCAAATGCTCCTTGTAAGGCCTGAGAATCTGTATCCATGTGGGTTCTTACCGGCTTTGTGTGCACATGGGGTTGCCTTGGTTTGAACAGTGGGTGGGATTTTCTTCAGCTTCAGTCTGGTCCTAATTGAGTGGAGATAAACCAAAATGGGTATAGCCCAGTTTTTTGGGACAGATTGAACCAAACTAGTTTAAAGCACAGCAGGTTCCTATGGTGTATATGGCTCTGGCTCCACAATATTCCTTGATTTATTCCTTTTTATGCACTCAATCACTGATCAATCCCCTCTGTGCCACTAGAAAATAAACCCAAAGCAACTGAAAGAGCTTTTACTTCTCATGCTGTAAACCATGATTTGACAAGTCTGAATAACAACATCCCCCTTTCTGAACAGGTATCTCCAGCTTTCCTCGGGGGAAACAAAGCTACAGAGTTGTTGTTGTTGAAGGTATTTCCCTTTTCCAAGGCTATACTGTATTGGCAGAACTGTAAAGAGATTCCAGCAGCCCTGGCTCCATAACTTAGATGATTCCACTACTGGTATTAAACGGTAGAATTGATTTATTTGGCTCAGAATAACGATGGATTTTTGCCCTGCATTAAGTGACAGATTTGCTTTTATCAGCATAGTTGCAGGGTTTTAAATGTAAGCCCAAAGGTGACTTTTATGGCTGCTGTATGGGGTGGTTTTTCGTATTTATGCCAAGGATAATCATTCCAATCAAGTCAATTCAACTCTGAACTGAAACAGGAACCCCCTTCAAGCACAGCTACACTAATTTGCTATTCTTCAGTGCCAGGTATTCTGGCAAATGGATCAACGATTATCAGGATGTAAAAGCCCATCAAACCTACAGGTTTCTGTGGGATCTCAAAGCAAGGAGCAGCATTGCTCATACAGGAGTTATACTGTCTCCCTAGGTCCTTCCTACAAGAAAGTGGGGGTAGTTACAACGTAAGTTCAAAGTTGTAGTGGAAAATGGTCTGTATTTCTACTGCTTTGAAGCTTTTGATTGTTCTTACACCACCACTTGATGGTGTATTGGATGTTACCACAGTTTGCAAGGCAGTGCCTAAGCAAAGCCCCACATGCTGGGAAGTGCCCGCTGCACTCCCAGTGTCTTGATAAAGGTGCATGAGGGTGAAGGAGGTTCACAGGGCAGGAAGGGAAGATTTTAACACATGTTGGGGCATGGAGGGATGGACAAATTCCTGGCTGGATGCACGCGCCTGCACAGCCACTGCCACAGCATCTGTCATGAGAGTGGATGTGCTGCTGCACCAAACCCCATGGATGTGGAGGAGAGGATGAGGCTGCAGCCTCTTGTTTCCAGTAAAAACCCCAGATCCTTCTGTGCCCCCCATTCCCTCCAGGAGCTGTGAGGGCTGCAGGGGGGAGCTGTAACCAAACACTCTTGGCACTATACTTTCTGTTTGGTTTTTAAACCACACAAACTCTGCTGAGCGGGGGCACTGCAGGAGGTGCTGCCTCGTCCCTCTTATGCACGATGAGAGCACAGCAGCCGCGTTGCTGGCTTCCGACGCTCCTCCCGACTGCTGGGAGCTCAGGCAATGACACTGGGCATGGTTTTCCTTCCCCAGGAAACACGCCATGGAGGCCTGTACCCCGGCTGCCTCCATGCTTCCGCGTTGCTTTGTGCATGGATTTTGCTGGAATAATGTTGGTTTTCCTCTTAACAGTCACTATTTTACTGAGAAAAGCTTTCCATGTAGTTCTCCTACCATGGGGCTGCCACCTCCTGTTTAGCAGAAACGGGGAGAGATGGATGGGGCCCAGGAGAGGTATGTCACGCCAGGGAGCAATACTTGTCCCCTGATACTGGGTTATGACAAGGAGCAAGCCCCAGCACACTGGTGTTTGTGGTTAACTCCTGTTTCAACTGCTGGTTATTTCAGTCCCTTCCTGTTCAACGCATGAAGACAAATGAAAAGCTTTTACGATTGAAGAGGGACATGGCGCAGGGTGAGACTTGTGGTGCACACTTAAAACACAGTATGTTTGGCCAGTCCT